ATCCAACTTGAATAAAAAAGGAAAAGTTGTATATAATAGCAAACTATTAATTCAAATTAAATGCTATAAATATACTTTGATTTAATTGTACCCTATAGCAAACTATTACTATTTTCGCCACTCTCCCTGGTGGAATCTCGCTCACCACTCTCGTTTGGTGGCATTCTTGCTTGCCTCTCTCGCTTTTATACAAACACAAATGTATAAAATGTGTTTGATTTTATATAAAGCGAGAGGAAATTGTATATATACATATATTTTCGTTTCCCTCTCTCTCCTCTCCCAGATCTCGCTTGCCACTCTTCCAAATCTCGCTCGCCTCTCTCGCTTATACAAACAGAAACGAAATGTATACATTGCGCTTCTGTTTGTATAAAGCGAGAGAAAATTGTATATACACATGCAAATACATATATCTTCGTCCTATACACTTAAAATTATACAATACAAATATTTCTCTGCCCAGTTTTCTTTTGCCTTTCTCTCTTTCTCGTTTTATACATACACATATTATACAGTTGATCTTTTGTATACAACTACTTTCTTTTGTATATGTATAGCAAATTATACAACTGCCTTCTTTGTATATGTATAGCGAATTATACAACTGTTTTTTGTATATGTATAGCGAATTATACATATATATGTTTGCTATGGAGCGCAATTATGTAAACTTTGCTATAGCATACAAATATGAATTTTGTGTTTGCTATATGTGAAAGTTGCTCAGTAAAAAATGCCCTTTCGTCCACCTATTTGGATCAAAAATACCCTCAACATTAAACTTAGGTGTAAACTTGACCTTCTTTTTAACAGAATCTGATGTGGCATAAATAATTTTTTAAAATTAAATATTTTATAATACAAGCGAATGGTGACTTAACACATTTTAACTTTTGCATCTGCAAATCAAAAATCAAACCCCATTAGATATAGATTTTTAGTTTTGGCCAAATGTGCAAGATATTCTTTTAATTTAATTTAAAATGAAAAGAGGATTGCAACATACTAATCAACACGTTAACTAAATCAGTGGCAATGCAGCAGAAGTGAGTGGCATTGTTATATTCAAGATAGGTATTGGTGAAAATCCAAGAACATAAACCTATTTAATTTGTTGGGTCATTAAAAAGTGGATTTGGGTTATAATGGTATAATTGTGAATGAATTTGGATGTAATTACATGTGGGTCAATAAAATAATATTATATATATTTGATTATAAAAAATTATTCATGCTACATCAGATTCTGTTAAAAGGAAGGGCAAGTTTACACTTAAAGTTTAAGGTTGAGGATATTTTTGATACAAATAGATAGATGAAGGAGTATTTTTGATTCAATAGTTGGCTGAATGACATTTTTGAACCTTTTCCAATTGGTTAAGAGCATTTTTGACGGCCTTTTCTCTTTTAAAACTAGTGTTTGATCATGAAAAATTCAAATATAATTTAAAATTGTATTCAGAATTTGACAAAACTCCTAAAATCTTGTTTTCACTTTCATTTTTTTCATTTTCTAATTTATTTTGTTTTCAAAAAATTCTAAATATTTTAATTTTCATGATATATCCTCATTTAAATTATATTTCATGTTCAAATAATATTTATATTTTAAAAGAAATATATTTAAATCATAAATATTAAGCCGGAAAAACTATGACCAAACACATTTTTTTTTTTATTTTTCCAAACACAAATTCTACTTTTGAAAGCAAAGGTTTTTTTTTTGTGTGTGTGTGTGGGGTGGGGGGGGGGGGGGGGGGCATTTATAAGGGAATCTTTTTGTAGATTTTTTTTTTTTGTCTCTTAAAGTTATATGTCAGTAGGTTCTACCCATATCATTAAATGTAACCACAAATAATTGATGAGATTTTTCTTGGTTGTCAATCAATGAGTTGAATTATTTTTTTCAAAATATCTATTTGTAGTATAAAAGAAAGCTTAAAATAATATAATATAATAATAAGAAGAAGACAAGAAGTATAGATAGAAAAAATATTTTTTCTTATATTGAAGTGTGTCTTCCAAATGACGAATGATATCTATATTTATAGTGTGAGATATCACTCCCAAAGGTCACCAAATCTATATCTATATATAAAGTCAAATGTAGATAAGGATGATGTAGCACCTCTTCTAGGCCCCCATTGCTATTTATCCTTTTTCTCATTTTTTTGACATTTTCTCTATTTTTTCTTATTTTCTATTTAAATAATTAATTATATTGTATTATATTTATTAAGTTTCATTAAATTTTTTAACAACCATATTAATTTATTGTGGCACCTCTTTATGACCTACAAAATTATTTATTTTTAATCTTCTCTTTTTTTTAAAAAAAAAAATCCTCTCATTATTTTCATTATTAATTTTTTAAAACATATATTTATTACATTACATCTAATTGTATCTCATGAGTTAATAATAATAATAATTAAAAAAATTAAAAAGAAACAAATAGGAAGGATAACGGAGAAAATGAAATTAAAGATGAAAAACTTCAGTTTCAAAACTTTTCATTTTCCAAATAAAAACTTTAATAAATTCTATGCCAAAATACTTGATTCAAATGACATTACATATACTGTTGTGAGTAGAATTTGTGTTTTGTAGAAACATGAAAACAAAGGAAGATGATCAGCTGATTGAAGCTATACATATAAACATTTTTATGTGCATAGCTCATTCTTTTACCTTTTTTTTTTTTTTTGCATTTTCAATTAGAAGGAAACTAACTTTTGTTGTTGAATTGTCATTGTTGTTGTAACTAATGAAATGTCAATATCAATGACATAAAAAAAGTACTCATCCAGAGATGAAGGCTTTCCATTCTCAGAAATATGGCCAATATCTTCAGAAAAGTATCATGAAGTACAATTATTTGAGGAGATCTTTTAATAGTTTATATGTTAATTTAGATTTTCAAATGTTCCAGTTTCAAATTTATATATTGTATTTGGGTTGTTAATTAAGATAATCATGTCAGAGGAATTCAATAAATTATTTAAGGTGTATGGATTCTTCACTTTCGATTATATATATAACTTTTGAAGAATACCCATTGACAATTTTGAAGAGTCCCAGCAATAACGACACCATAATTTTGGAAAAAAGGAAAAGGTGCTTTCTTATATATTTGTTGATTAGAAAAATGGAACATATCAAAATTAAATATCTTGACTAATTATTAAAAATAAGGAGTATTTTTCCTTATGGTGCTTCAAATTAAAAATGATTATTGATTATCATTATTTAAGATTATGTATTCTGCTAAAATTTGCTCAAGAATGTTATTTTTTGTTTCTAATCAGAAAAAAGGGATGGCCTAGTATTAGGCTATCAGCTAAAGAAATGTATGTGCATTATCTTCTCTCTTTTCCTAAGTCTTATTTCCCTTTCCCTGCTTAATCTTAATTTTAGAGGTTTAATTTTTTTCTAGATCGCTTATCAATTATACTTAGGAGTTGCAATATTCAGTTTCAAAGGATAAAAACATTATAAAACATACATAAACTAAGTTGCGTTGAACTTTTATAGTACTAAAAGTTGTTGAATTTTTTATACATAATATATATATATATATATATATATATATATATATATATATATATATATATTCAAAAAATGTTATGTTTTAATTAGTTAACTTTTTACCTTTCACTATAATTGCTTTCTTAATTATATATTTTAATATGCATTTATTTGGGGGGTGGGGGGGGGGGGGGGTCATCCTTTTTCCTTTAGAGGAAGTTTCTTTTGAAAAAAATTTGAAGATAAAATGAGGTTTATTTTATATTACGATAGAAGAAAGCTTTCTATTTTTAAGGGATAAGGGTCTGAAAAATACCTCAACTTTGGTCGGATTTGCTGTTGCGATACTAAACTTTCATAAGGACCTATTACCTCCCTAGACTATTTAATACCGTATTTTTTACCCCCTGATCTATTTAATAGTGTATTTTAAAGGTATATATGTGCCCACGTGGACACATTACTATTTATAATTTTGCATTATTTTTTATGTCCACGTGGGCAAATATATATGTTTAAAATATGGTATTAAATAGTCTAGGGAGGTAATATGTCCTCATGAAAGTTTAGTATCGCAACAGCAAATCCGACCAAAGTTGGGGTATTTTTCATAGAAAAATCACAACCCTTTGAAAAAGTCACAACTTATCAAAAAAGTCATAGCCTAAGTTAGGGCTATTATAGTAATTTAACATTCAAGGTAGGAGTTCATGCTTTTAAGGTAATATAGAAGATAGATATGAGACATGACATATGAGATGATGTCTTGATGATTAGTTACAACAATGTGCTATTCTGTAACCTTAGTGAAACCCACTTATTGAAAAAAAAAAAGTAAAATATTATTTCATCTAGAGTGAGATTCTGAAAAGCAATGCAACGAATGAAAATGATTTATTGTTTTTTATTTATCTATTTGCTTTAGACAGTACTGCTATATAGGTGGATTTTGAAAGTTGTAACAAAAATTGATTTTTGGTACAAGAGTTACCTTTGAAGGTAGTATAAATGAAGGACAAAATATTCATTTTTTTTGTGCATTAAGAATTTCTGTTACGTAATATGTATGAAGGACTAAAATAGTACAACCCCAATATAATAGGGATCAATTTGATCATTTTAAAGTCCACTGATTGTCGAGAAGCCGATTATCAGCACAAAAGGTTTACATGAGAAACTCATATCCAAGTGTCTCTTAATTTGTCAATCCATGACAATATGAGTGGCATAAGCTATTTCTTTAAGCATTCGTGAGGAAATTGGAGGACTACCGTTTGATTGACCTCGGAAATGAAGAATGATAGTTCGACGAGCTCTTATTTTCCCATGGGTGGACATGAAAGGGCATAAATATAAGTTAAGGTCAAGTTAAAGGGCATACCATATATTTATGTGGGCATACCACATATTTATGTATCATGCCTAATTTTTATTGCCATAAATTAGTTATTTTTTGTACACCTTTAGTAAAAAGAATATATATTTGCAAAGATGCAATCCATAAAACTGATGCATGCACCAGAAATTTAGTTACTTCCAAAAACTAAATACTCCTAAATATATACTTTTTACTTACATAAAGAACAAAAGATATAAGCAAGGCATTGCATTCTAATTACAAGAGTAGTCTAAAAGAATCTTCTTGCAATAGCTTGTGCATTACATGAACCATATTGTCAGCAATGTTGATTTATGAATGTTCATCCTACAAATAAAAGATAAATATAGTTATATTTCGAAAAAGTAAGTTATAAAGTAAACGAAGTACATATTTAAAGAGCAAAAGAGGGTCGGAACCACATAATCTTACTGGTTTTTGCAACTAATCGCATCACTAGAAGTTCACATTCTATAGAATGGTTGGGGCAGAAACATTCAGCTAACAATAAAATTGCAAAAAAAGTTGTAAAAGTATCAAACCAAGAAAAGTATTTGGAAACAGAAAACATTAAAAACTTCCTCACAAAGTTAAATATTTGCTCACACAAAGCTGCACCAAATACCACGCGAGATACTCCTAGTAGAGAACTTTACTCAAAAGAAAAGAAAAAAACTCCCAGTGGAGAATGTATCAATTCTCCGTTTGTCTTAAATCTAATTAAGTACTCTAAATAATAGTATCTAGTTTACAATTTAGGGTATGCTTGGGCTGTCCAACTACGAGTTTTCAGCCAAAATTGTCCCGTATCTTTGAGGGCAGGCTCAACTTGTTAGACGAACATTTATGCATACAACCAAGATAAGAATGACTTCCAGACATACGACTACAAAATAACAATGACTTCCAGAACTACAAAATAACAATGACTTGAAACTTTGCTACTGAACGTACCAAGACTTAATCAAGCAATTAAAAGACTCATTCTTGCATACAACCAAGAAAGATAATTTACACGAGTTAGATAAAGTTTACTTACCTAGTTTTTATCCATAAGACTTGTAGGACTTGCCTCGTCTGAACCAGTTGAATTATTAATGATGTTGAAAATTGCAGCAGGAAGTCCATTCTGTTAAACATAGTACAACTAAAGAATTTAGTTTGTCGTATAAAGGAAGGATATGAGAGTGAGGAAGAAGCAGAGATAGTGAGAGTGACTATAGTAGTAATGTAGCATTTACTAGTTTAGCAGATTATACTAAATAAATACCATGGAACTTTGCATATGGGATACTAATGCCATTACGCCCTCTTTTAACAATTTTTGCTCATGCACTAAACGAGTTTCCATGACTTCTCGACTTCTCCGCTCCTCCTCAAGCTGATTTTTTACTTCCATTAGCTTGCTTTCTAAACTCTCTCGTTTACGCCGTTCTTCTTCTATCTCCTTTTGTTGTGCTTCTAGTTGTTCTTGAATTTCATCTCTGGATCTCCTACTCGCTGGCTTAACTCCCGATCCTTGACCACGAACATACCCTTCTTTTTCTCTCATAATTTGCATAAATGCAGCATTAGCAATAAGGTCCACATCGGTGCCCTCTTCAATTTCTTGAATTTTTTCAGCAACAACTTCTTTCACCTTATCCTACAAGCAAGTTATACAAGCTTTAACTTTCAAGATTTATTTAGACAGACTTATTCTAGGAATAAAGATAAGATTTTTCTATGTACATTCACTTCAGCAGAAGCATCATTAACCCAATGCCCGTTTGAGTTCACGTGAGTCATTTCCCAAAATTTTTGAGAGTTTGGCTCTTTTCCGGTGTTTGTGTCCCTCTACCAAAACAAATCAAATTACGTTATTGATAAAAGAAAAATCAAAATCCATAAAATAAAATAAACGAAAGACATATCTCACCGCTTCAAATGATACTGCTTGGAAGGATTTTCTGCCGCAAATATGATTCACCTCTTGTTTTGCCTTATTACTTTTATTTCTTTCACTCATTTTCTGCATTGATTTTGAGTCCATGAATTCAATTTTAATTATAAGAAGTAGAAAAAGAAAACAAAACAATATTTATTATAAAGTTAAATCCATTGTACTACTGAATTACCTTAAAATCGTCAGAGTTGAAATATTCCACCAAGAATTTCCATTCAGCTTCACTAACCTGTGATGGCATGTTTTGCAACCTTACCTCTTTTGTAGCAAATTTCTTGAAATGATCATGTAGCCTACTACGGCGATATCGATATAAATTTTTAGCTGTTTGAAGGATAGTATCCCGATTATGTTGTATGTCCGGAAGCTGGAAGGTATCCTGCACTCAAAATAAAATTTAGGTGAGCTTAATTAAAATAGAACTTTGATTGTCTGTCAATAAACTGAGGGATGCTTGAGAGTCGAATGCTCTAAAGTTAGTTTATCAGTATACATTTTTGTATACTTTAATCCTTGTTCTGATGTATTATTTAGTTCCCTCTCTAAAACCATAATTCTGAACTCACTGTGTATTGAAACAAAAACTTTATAGATATTCTGCCAACACATTTTCGAACAGAACTGTGTATGGTTCACGAGCTTTGAAAGTGGATCAAACAGACTCTCCTATGAGTATGCTTTCAATTCTTTGACTTAAGTTGTTCCTTATTGCCACCATTACCTGATCTGCAAACCTTTCTTCATTTTTCAGTTCTGAGTTCTCTGAAGTAAAATTTGCATCGGATATTTTTGAACAAATTAAAAATGTGACATGAAAGAATACTTTGTTTGGACAAAGATATAACAATTGTTTGATGAATTGCATTAATGATCCTCTGTTGCTGGAAAATGGATATGAAGTTCATTGTCGATATGAGAAACAAAACGTACTTTACTCATCCGGACTGCTTAAGGAAAGTATTGTTCTGAAATTATGTATTCAGTACCACTAGTCCGCAGAAACCATAAGAGCATACCTGCCACGAGTTGGTTGAGCGATGAACCTGTTGGATTTCATTAACCAAGCAGATTCGACGTTCAATATAATTAGCTAGTACCAATTAAGAAATGGAAAAAAAGAAGAAGAAGAGATCAAGTTTGTGAGTGGTTGCCTAATCAGTAATCAGCAATCATTTCGGTTTACAATACCGGTAAATAATTGCTTCCAGCAATCTGATAGCTCTGTTTCTAGGATGGATCTTTTAAAGATGCAACGGATTTAGATGCAATCAATACCAAGAGAAAATCCAATCTCATAAAGATTATTATAATCAGTACTGTGCACAGAAACCTACCTGATGATAACTACACTAACGTAAGTTGACGTGCATGCTAATCCAAAATGGCATGGAACAATATAAATGACATCAGTGAACTGGAGCAAAATAGAACTTGGATATGCTGTATTATTTCACGTTGATGTGGAAAAAACTAACTAATCAAAGCATACCACATGAATTTTGAAATTTGAGTCTGAAAAAAGGTTTTTGAGCCCAAAATAAATAGACGGTAGCTTATTTGGATAGACTGAGTTCAACGAGGAATGATATTCCAAAATTTGAAAATGAAGGGCACAAAAAGTACTCCCTTTGTCCAACAATATTTGTCCACTATCGACTTTGTACACTTCTTAAGAAACTATAAACGGAAGGGTAATTTTACTATATCACCCTTTGAATATAATAAATACAATGTTTTGAAAAATATAATAAGGAAATGACTATAAATAATGATAAGGGTAAATTAGGAACTAAGTGTAAAATTATCCATTGATTTCATAAAGTGAACGAGTATTGTTGGACATCCCAAAATAGTATAGTGGACAACTATTGTTGAACGGACGGAGTAATAACTATCAGAGAACTATCCAACTTCAAGATGAAGAAGAGACATCCATCTAATAGAATTAAGAAGATGAAGAAACATATAAGAGCTAAATCTCACGTTTAACAAGTCAAAAAAAAATTAACAAGGTTAAAAAAACTCCAGTTCTTTGGAATTTTGACTATAGATAGTTTATAGATTGAAGATGGTTTTTCATTAACCTATCTTGTGCTTCAACATTATCTGCAACATAACTTTTATCTTGTAGTGGAGATGGTGCTGGGAAAATAGAAGATGAAGAGAATGGGTACATATAATGGTGAAGATGGTGGCTGGGAAAGAACATAGGGTGGTGGAGGTAGTGGCAAGGGGAGAGCAGGAAGAAAAAAAGAGAAACATTTAGAACAAAATCGACTTCATGCGCGCTACTGTAAAAGCAAAGAAACAAGAAAATTAACCAACTAAATCCAAATCAAGAAGTTGAAATCTGCACCGGGAATTCAAGATTCTGAAACGTATGTTGCTTTGATGATCTGAGTAGCCTATGGTGTTTTAGTCTCATTTTCATTCTCTCGTGTCAAGGGAGGTGTTCTCTATTTCGGTTTACCAAGTGTTTTGATTGAATTTTATATTTTTATTCATTCAAGGACCAAAAGGTTTTTTAAATTTAATCGAAAGAAAGCGAATTACCAGCATATGAGCAACAATCCTATCTTTTGCTAGATCAGAAACTCCCTTCCAATTCTTGACATCATGCCTAGCATTATGGAGAACTGTCACTGAGAGCTCAGTAACAAAATCTTTAGCTCCAGGACCTACTGCTACCATTCGATCTGGTGGGATAATTACCTTCAACTTTCCATTGACACTTTCCTTGAGTTTCTTTTGGATTGAAAGTCCCGTTGTCTTCCCCCTTCCCTTTCTTTTTTGCCCTTTAGCAATATATGAAAATATTTAAGTGTATATAAAAAAAAGATATACAAGCTAGAAACTTTGAAGGGAATGGTTTAATGAATAAATCAACTTACCTGGTGGTGGGGTTGCAATTACATCGGCAGTTCCAGCATTATTAGTATGCACATTTGTCATAATGATGAGCTGCAAGCCTGCAACATATTTAAAAAAATTACATTACAGGCAGAAAATAGAAATTAACAAATAAAAATGATGCTCAGAAATTGGGATAAACAAATAAAGTTACAAAGCAAGAAAATGAAGATATAAATGGAAACGTAGAAAATAGAAATTAATCATTTCAGCAAGGTGATGGAAAATGGAACTCCAATGAAGAAAGCGATAAATATAGCAAAATTGGGCTTAAGACTAGTTGAAAAATCACAACCAACCATCATCCTCGTTTTCATCATACTCAACAGTATTTTCATCTGTTGCAGAATCATTGAAATCATCCACATTTTCAAGATCAGACTCATTACAACTTCTGAGTCTACTTCTTATTGAGAGGTGTTTCAACACTCACTCCATAAATATCTTCTCTCTGTATTCTGATGACATCATCGACTCTACTTGAGGAATTGTTTCTCCCCTTACTTAGTCAATCAGTTGATGCGGTTTTCATATTTTTGTTTGAGAAGATCATACAAATTTCGTGGTCTTACCCTTAACATCACATGTCATTTCTCATTTTGGCCATGTTTAACATAATACATTGTCTGCTTGCTAGCCTAGAATGGATGGATCATTAGAGTAATGGGGTCATTTACATCTACACATACGAATCCATATTCACCCCTTTTGTAACGTCTACACATACGAATCCATATTCACCCCTTTTGTAACATCTACACATACGAATCCATATTCACCCCTTTTGTAACATCTACTTTAGAATAATATAATGGATTTACGGCTCAACTATTACTACAACAACAACATATGCAGTGTAATCCCACAAGTGAGGTTTGGGGAGGTAGGTGCACTTTGTGAGGATGCCTACATATAGAAGAAGATATATTTTGTTAGGGTTATGCTATGAAGTTGTCTCTTCATTTTCTTAGTTGCTTTTAAGACCAACTCTGGAACCTCCCTCCTTTCTTTCTTTTGTTTTTATTCTATGACGAACTCCTCTATCAATGAATGTGATTACCGTGTTCCATGTCAATCCGATTCCCCTTTGTTACAAACAGTCACTCGTACCAGTAAACGAAAGCAGGACTACTACATTGATCTATCCTGTTATCAGTAGCTAACTTTCCTGAATTACTATTTTGGATTATAAACAGTACAAAGATTTGTATCTGTGTTGGGCTTCACTTGGATTATAGTTTCTTTCATATTATAACTGAACTGCTCCAAAACCCAATGCTCTGCTCCTGCAGTCAGGATTTCCACCTAGTAGGTGTTTAGGTTGGCATTTTAGTTCTATGACTGGCTCTCAAACTCGGTTCGTTGAAATTATACTCGATTCGATATAGTAGAGAATAAATTCGTACAGCCATATGTATCTTTAGGTCACATAAGATTCTCAATAACATTGGCCTTTACTTTTAAAGATTTAACCTATAAGAACAAGTCTTAGAACTGTTGAATCTGGTTCTTTGGTTTTATTTCTTATCAAATTTTATCATCCGTGCCCTATGTTTCCCTTGAACAAGTAAGACTGATTGTACAGAAAAATGAACACCTTTTGATTTCAGAACCTTCGTTTCAATAAAACTAACAACACAATACGGTACAATAGGTAACAACTATCCAAACAAGCTGTAAGATTCTCAAAGCAATCACTTCTTAAAAAACAATTCTCAAGACAATCAAGATTCTCAATCCATCCGTTTTTAAAATAAGAAATCAAAGCCAAAGGAGATTTCATCAAAACTTTTATGTCAATCAATGGTTCCCAATTGGCTTATTTCTTTTCTAATTCTAGTAATATTTACAAAAACGAAAAAAAGAAAACAAGGTGTAAAGAAAAAACAAATATTGAAGGAAGCCAATACATTACAAGAACATTTTAAGCAGTAGAAGCATCAGTGAGTTCTACTTCCCAACATCTGATTGAACCTTGATAATTAGACTTATACCAGCAATTAGGTCACCTAAACTCGCACCTTGTTGCTGAGGTTCGATTCCCCATATTGTAATCCCCTACCAAATTTACATTAAAAAAAAAAAAAAAAAAAAAAACATACCAGCAATTAGCAAAAACCCACTTGAGGGTCGAGGGTTCACCCTCCAAATTTTCATTCACCAGTGATTTCATGAAATTTAGTACAGGGAAAATTGTTCTGTTTTCAAAGTATTGTTTTCTGATGCAAAATGTACTAATGAATTCATAAAGACTGACATTAATTTCTCTCAAAAAACTAGTTGTACGAAACCCAGATTCAAATACCTTAAAACCCAAAACAAAATTAACCCTTTTCCTGAGCTTGAATCAAAGAAAAAAGGAACTTAACAGACTCATTTATGGATCAACAAATTAAAACGATAGCCAAATCATAGCAAGGAGACTAAATCATAAGTGATAACTCACCGGAATTTGGGCAATACACGGCAGAAGAAAATGAGTGTAGAGATCAGTGGAACAATGAAAAGAGAAATTCCAAATATTTCGATAGCAACAACTTAATCAATATAGTTGTTGTCATTTGGTAAAAATTAGGTAATGAGTAATATTATGGTTGTTGCTAAGGAGTTGTTGCCATTTGTAAAGGTGGATTTCGGAAGGGTAAGTGCACTATTATGAAAAGATACATCTAACGTATAAATTTGATTGGTTTGATCCGTTGTTAACACTAATTCATTAAATTTTAAAATTTATAGGTCCAACATATATTCGCTTTGTCCCTACTTATTTGTCTCTTTTGAATTGACACACCTATTAAGAAAACAATGATTGCCTTAATGAGTTAACCATTTTACCTCTATTATTAATTAGGGAAAATGGTCTAAACAATACTCTAACTTTGGCCGAAATTGTTGTTACGATACCAAACTTTATGGAGGACATTTTACCCCCTGCACTAATTAATAGTGTATTTTTAAAGGTATATATATGCCCACGTGGACACATTACTATTTATAATGATGCAATTTTTATGATGTTTACGTGGGCACACATATACCTTTAAAATACACTATTAAATAGTGCAGGGGGTAAAAGGTCATTTCCAAAGTTCGGTATTGTTACAGCAATTTCGGTCAAAGTTTAGATATATTTCAGATTTTTTTCCCTATTAATTATGAAGTGAATGAATTGCAAACTTGAGATTTTCAAGAATTTCTACTTTTTTTTCAAAATAATTAATTGAGGATATAATAGGTAAAAAAAATTGTCCTTTTTTGATTTGTCAAAATTGATAAGTAATTAGGGACAACTAAAAAATGAAAAGTGGACAAGTAATTAGGGACAGTGAGAGTACTAGTTTTAAATTTTAATATACACATTTGATTTAATTATATAAAACATTTACCGTGCTAATTTTTTTTAGGAAATTCCAATTTTACACACTTGAAAATTTTGAAAGATTAAAGCAAAAAATAAAAGAAGAATTGATTGAAACACCAAAAATGTTACCGATAACCACTTGGAGGGGTGTTATAACAAAAATAAGATTTAAAATTTCTATCTTCGCTTACAAAGGTGCACCTAATCATCATCGTATTATTATATGCTACATTTAACGTGGGTTCACACCTCTACATTTAAATATTTTTTTAAAAAATATAGCACTACTATTTATAATCTAGAGAGGGGAGCATGCGTTCACGTGAACCCACATAACTCCTCTAGATACGCCTCTGGCCATTTGTTTATATTCAAAATATCTCAAGTATCCGTATTTTTTTAGTTTTCTATCTGAATTGTCATGTGTTGGTGTTGGCAAAATACATAAATGTGTCCTTTAACATGGTCTCATCTAAGGCATATGCCTTCTAATTTTGAGTGTGTACAAGTAGATACTTAAACTTGTATAGAATTGAATAAGTAGACACACGTCCATCCTACATGGCGTCCTACGTGGCAATTTGTGTCCTACATGGCATCCTACGTGTATTATATCATGTAGGATATTTGTGTCTATTTGTTTAATTTTATACACGTTTAAATGTCTATTTGTGCACACCCAAAGTTGGAAGACATAAATATATGTTTGTTAAGGTCAAGTTAAAGGGTATATTTATGTATTATGTCTTTATGTTTTATTGCTTGAACTATCACCAATCACCATTACATAAATATCCCCTTTTAACTTGACTTTGGTTAACATCTATGTTCTTTAACTCTGTTATGCACAAGTAGGCAATTTAAATTTGTATAAAGTTAAACAAATAGGCACATGATCCTGTCCTAGAGCAATATATGCTCAAAATGTGTAGATGGTAGGTTTTGGCTATTGCATTATCATTTGGAAGTTGTTGTGATTGAGATAAGCTCTTATGTTCAGAGACTGTTGTGACTTCCTCTATTACTTTTTTTTCTTTAGTTTCTCAAAATAGTATTGTAGTATTTGGTTAACTGCGTAATTGGGATGTATTGGAGTCTACTATTCGATTTTGATTATCTAAATACTAAATACACATATTCGATCAATTTGTCTATAAAATAAATTACGGATAAAAAATATTTTCGGAGTTTTGGGATGAGGAAGAAAGGACTAAGATTCTTTAATTTCTTTATCATTTAATTGATAAACTAATATTTATTATTTAAAGAGTATTTTGAGATTTAACCTTGTGATGCCGGAATAATAAGAGCTTTCAAGATGTATTATCACAACAAATTTTATTGTACGATATTTGAAGGCTATGAAGTGAGAAAAACCGATCTAGGAAAGATTAATATTTTGGATGCTATCAATTTTGCAATCCCGGCTTGGATGACAAATGTTCAAGAGACAATAGCAAATGTTTTAGATGCTGCAAAATTTGTTCAGAAGATGAAATCTCAGAGAATTTGAATAAACTCACATGTAAAAACGTCATTCATGAACTTGAGGTCATGATTAATGGTCTCGATTACCGCAATAAAATGGACGTCAATAAAACCTATTGGATTATCAAGGTGAAAATGATACATATTCAGAGGTTCAAAGCTTAGAAGAAATTGTGGATACCGTCGAAAAAAATAATTTTGATGATGAAGTTGAAGATGATGCAATATCTTTGGAACCAGTTATGCGTAAGGAAACACTTATCGCATCTAGAACTCTTCACAATTTTATGGTACAGTTTGAAAAGACAACACCAAAACTTTTGGATGCAATAAGAAAAGTTAGAGAAGAATTTCGACTAGATTTAAAGTTCAACAAAACACAACATGATCATATTTTCACTAAATTGTCTTAGATATATTGTACTTTTAAAGAATTACTAATTTATAATATTAATTGAACCATATATTTATATAGGGTTCTTCTGAAAATATATTATATCTTATTATCTTATTAAAATGAGTGATTTTTTTCATTGGCCAAGTCGAGAACGGAGGAAAATATGATCGATTATTAATTTACCAATTATTAAACATATGCATTATATATATAAACAAGAAGAAAAGTAAATACATCTTTGTTATCAAGTTACCCAAAGACCAGCAAATTGGAGGGGACCTATTCTATGATATCCTCATTGTAGATAAACCAAACAATAAAATTATTTTCTTTTAGCAACTATGCACTATATGTTTGACACTTTCATGTGAATGTTATTACAGAATAACACACACATTTATAAACCATACACTTGGGTATTTAAGTCAAAGTTGGCTTTGCATAAAATAACTAATTAACTTATGTCCGGTAAGGTTCCCTAAAATACAAGTTTTGTTTTCTATCAAAAGAGTTCCCATTCTTGCCTGTTGCTGAAGGTTTTCAATTTTGTCTTCCCTTCTTCAGGCCTTGCTTGCTCGTTCCATGCCTTTTTGCATCTTTCTTCATTCGTCGATCAACAAGAACTTTCCCCCTGCCAACCTTCACTTGAACGCCCTTCTTTGCCACTACGAATTCCCTTTCTGGTCTTTTAGGTGTTGCCTTCTTGTAAAGCTGTTCAATCATTCTACTCTTTGAGCGATCAGATACATCTGCTTGGTCTGATATCGAGTTAGCTTTCTTTCGAATCTTGTCCAGCTTTCTCTGAGCAGCCCTTTTCTTTCGTGCTTTGGCTTCTGCTACCTTCTTTGCAGGACGTGCATTGATTTCTTTAAACTGAGCTCTTATTGCAGCAATCTCCTCTTTCGTCACCGGCATTATCAGCTGTCGATGCCTCTTCTCCTCGTCAACAAACCAATATGGCAACCCCTCATCGTCAAACATATACTTATTGTAACCATCATCCATCATTGACTCTCTCTGCCTTTTCAAAATCAATTTCTTTGCTACAGACAATATTTCAGCCTTTCTGTCGATATCATCATCTAATTCATCAGACGACGAATCACTTGAATCTGTAGGCAGTACAGGAGCAATCTCAAAATCATTTGGTGTCTCAGATGATGGGACTTGGAGCAAACCATCCATTCTTTTCTTTGTCAGGATTGGAGCAAGCAATTGGCTAGTTGTCTGTGTTTTAGATATTGGGGCCATTTCTCCTACTAGGTTTATTAGCATTTCATCTTCGCTGTTATACTTGTCCAACATGTCTTGCTCTTCTGGCTCAACAAAAACATCTTGAGTAAACCACGTTTTTGCAACCTCCTCTTCAGATGGAGCGGTTTCTAGAGGTATGATTAGAGGATTCACTTGATCCTCTCCCATATCACTGTCAGAGTCTTGAGCAGAATGAGTCATACCATCTTCGTCACCAAGCTGAACATAGACTAAACAGTCTCAGTTATAGAGATAGAGAAAGAGTGAAAGAAGGATACACCACATCTAGTTCTTACGGGTCAATTTTGAGCTAAATCCAACCATTAGTTCGGCTGATTCGGTTTTTTGCCCAAATTTTGACCCATCAATGAATATATTTTCATTCTAGACTGTACACAGAGTTAAAAATTACTGTACCTCCAAGAGTTTACAATCACTCAAGTAGGAAATTCTGGATCGTTTTGTTTTTCTTTCCCCTCGAGCCATATACCTTTTGTTGTGGTCCTCAAGCAACCCCTCTATTTCATCGTCACGTCTGAAAATTTAAATGAACCAGTTCCAATAGTAGTAAAAAGTCAAATAATCGTTTTTGGATATAGTTCCAGTAAACTGTCTGGTTACCTTATGCGCTCTTCTTCGGAGTCCATATTGGTAGATGCATTCTCTGGGGCTTCCAGGTCACTTCCGTCATCTTCGCTATTTACTTCAACAGTTCCATCATCACATTCATTGTCATCAACAACTACTACATCTCTCTTGCTCTGAAATATATGGCCCAGATACTCAGCTTAACAGCAAAGTAGAATTTAAAAAGACAAAGTAAATGATGATTTAATTCATGTTAAGACCACTAAACGAAATAGGCTAACACGTAAAAGCAGGTCTATCCTCCATTTTGGATATAATACATTAAAAGCAATTTATTGTTCTGTTTTTCATTAAGTAATAAATTTCATTAAAAGATGGGCAAAAAGATATGCCTGTAAAAATACACAAAAAGACAGAAACCTAACCAAAAAAATGGTTTTATGCAAAAAAACACATGCAATATTAAAACAAAACAATGGAAAAAATGCTACACCTCAAGATATTTCTCTACTCTGTAAAAACCTCTCATATTACTCCCTCTCCAAACAACCTACATGAGTGCTAGCACACCAACATCTCATACCCTGCTCCATTTTTAGAGAAAACTCAACTAAACATAGTTTCTTTCATAGTCCCGACATCACCCACCCAAGTACAAACCGCCTCAGAATTTCTCAAAAGTAGAACGCTATCCCACAATGTAAAAAGGAGGTGATCCACATTATCCCCAGAGTCTTAAAGGTTCCTAAACCTCAAGTCCCACTGCACTTCTCCCCTTGTAAACTCCACAATCGACCACTGGACTAGCATCTCCCTTTGGTATGAAATTATATACATGTTTGGACATGTCATTCTTAGGGCTCATTTGGTTGGAGAACAAGCTATCCCGGGATAAGTCATCCCAGGATTGTCTCAATATGGGATAAAATAACACAACAATCCCGGGATAACTAATCCCGGGATAAGTTATCCCTCAACTATATTCCAACCAAACATGGGATAAACTCATCCTAAAATTAATCTCGGGTTGAGTTATCCCTTATCCCTCGTACACAATGAGCGCTTAATGTGTTGTTCCCACACCACCTATGTCCCCAAAAACTATCCCTACTCCCATCACCCATTAATAATGAAATGTTCGCATAAACCTCTTTCCACCCCTTTAAGCTCTTTCAAACCTTTAACCACAAATGTCTCTGCTACGGGTGGATGATAAGGGTTGCATTTTCTATGAAGTAACAAACTAAGCAGAGTGAAGTGGGCATACCTTGATCAATGTTAGAGAAAACAGCTCCGGATCAGCAAAACCATCTTCAGTTGCATCGGACTGCATCCCCAACACCTCACGTGCTTTGTCCTGCAGTTAAAGAAGGAATGGGAAGTAAGCTAATGATAGCAGCAGTAGGAACTAAGTCTCAAACAATGGTCAAAGTTTCAACATCTACATGACGACGAACCAAAAGATTCGCAAGAGATGCATATTAGATTCAGAAACAAAAGAGTTCAAGCGGTAGCACCAATACAGAATATTGATTTAGAAAGGCAGAACAACAAAGGACTCACGTCTGCTTCTTCGTTTTTTAAGATCAAAATGAAGATGGGGAGGGGGGAGGGGGGGGGGGGGAGCAAAGCAACTAGAAGCCCTGGAAGACAAATCATTTGCATCGGAACAAAAAGAGACCAAATAGGCAGCAATGGATACAACAAAATCCATAGCTAATCAAGATATAGCTGATTAATAGAAGCAAAACGCAAGCAGTATTTTAGCTGAAAATAGCTTGGAATAAGTTTTCTTAGGCAATTTGACAGTGATATAAAAGCAATCAGAATAGAAATTACAGCTGATCTGCTGAACTACAAAGTTGTCAGTTTGTGATTTGACAAGTAAGGTAAACTGGGCAGAAATATTGCTGACAAAGATGCTTAAGGGAGCAGTTAGAAGATAAACTGGAAACCATAAAACCAAATTCATTCAAGAGAACAAACAAAACATATAAGTATATTTGCATTTCGGTTTTTTTGTTCTCTCTATGATTATCCTAAAACCAAGTATCACAATTCAAGGGTCGCATTCTGAACTTAGAGTAGAAAAAAGGATACCAACACAGAATTAGAAAGAGAAAGGTAAAGCATAGCCATTAACCTTGGCTTGTCTTTTAGCTATAACCCTTTTTTCTCTTCTCGTCTTTCTCAATTCAGTTTCCTTCAACTCTTCCATTTCTTTTACAAGTCTTGTATCTTCATCCTCTTCTCTCTCACATTCAATTACTACTTTTGGATTACTAATGGTCTCTGAAGGAGCCAAACCTTTCCTCATAAGCTTACGCCACCTACAAGTCAAAGGATATTCATGCAAAACTGATAAGAAAGATATCATGTCCCCTCTTACTGACAGATAACAACCTAAACAGTTTAGACCCCATTAACAGGTCTAAGACATGCTTTTCAAATGCAAACACCAAAGTCTAAGAAGTTTCTTGTTCCATACTTTGAAAGATGTTTGAGATCTTGCTCCCCCAGAACACGCAAGTCCTCACATAGTGTTCTAACCTGGTCCAAAATTGAACTGTAAGGCAACAGATGAAATAAAGACTACAAAGGATGCTTCTGACAAATATAAAAAACACCATTTATCAGAGTTATACCTCTTCTGTCGTCAGAGGATGATCTCTCATTGGCAAAGAAGCAGGATCATCAAACTTTATCGAAGTAACTGAGCCAAGGCTCTTGATATCAGACCACACAAAATCGGCAGCAGAACAGTCCTTCCTTAAGACCGTCTCCCCATCTTCATACCTGCAACATTGGTTTTAGTTGGATACAAAATAGATAGAAGAATATGCTCATGTTAATGCAAATAGGATAACAAATAGAAACTAGTTAAAATTATAGGTTCGTGGCAAATCATCAGATAAAAGTGAACTAGAATACAAGAAACCAAATAAAAGGAGTCATTTAACTGTGACAAATAGATAGAGTATGTCCTCTGACACAAGATGACAACACCACTGCTCATCAGCTCTGAATCGGTTTTTAAGGCATCCAAGAGGTCTAAAGCATGAACAACAGTTGTTTTCACAAACGGTCAACATGAGGTCTTTGGCATGTACAAAAGGTGAATAATGTGCATAAGCATAAAAAACATTATTGATAGATGATTTACCCATCCCGGTGTCTCTTCTGCTTCGTCGCTCTGAGAACATCGACCACCTATTCAAACATACACTGTTAGCATGATGGACAGCTAAATGATTGTATATATTAATGTAATTATATAGTGATATAAATTAGCATGATCATATACATTTGTTGTAGAATCAAAGGAATAAATATTGTGATAGAATAGTTGATTTGGAGGGATAGCAAGGGAGATTTAGAGGGATTGAATAGCAGATTTGTAGAGATAGAATAACTGATCTTTAGGGATAGGAATGGCGGATCTTTAGGGATGTGTAATCTTTATTTTCTCTATGTAATGGAAAGACTCTCACTTTGAGAGGCATTAAGCAGAAAATTGACATGGTATTAGAGCCTTCTCTTGGCTGTCTTGTTTCATAGAGTCATCTGTGGTTTCTTCTAATTTTTTTTTGAAAATCTTGGTTTTTGGTTGACTGTTCATCGACAATCAGTCCTACCACCTGGGAATTTTGTTCTTGGTTATTCTAGTTGCTTTCTTGAGTCTTTGTAGTTTTCATAGCTATTCAAAAGCATGAATTCACATCACTTTGAATCCTTTAGTGTTCGTTTTACTGGAAAAAATTATTCTTCTTGGGAGTTTCAGTTTCAGTTGTTTGTCACCGGCAAAGAACTATGGGGCCATATAGATGGAAGCGATCCTGCTCCTACTGATGCAACAAAGCTAGGTGAATGGAAGATTAAAGATGCTCGGGTGATGACATGGACTCTAGGGTCAATTGACCCTCTTATTGTTCTTAATCTCAGGCCATACAAGACAGCTAAGTCCATGTGGGATTACTTACAAAAGGTTTACAACCAAGATAATAGCGCAAGACGCTTTCAGTTAGAGTATGAAATTGCTAATTACTCTCAAGGAGGTCTTTCTGTTCAAGATTATTTTTCTGGATTTCAGAATTTATGGGCTGAATTTACAGATATTGTTTTATGCCAAAATACCTACTGAATCTCTATCAGTGATTCAGGCAGTTCATGAGCAAAGCAAGCGAGACCAATTTTTTATGAAATTACGCTCCGACTTTGAGAGTGTTCGCTCTAACTTGATGAATCGTGACCCGTCTCCTTCTTTGGATGTTTGCTTTAGGGAATTACTTCGTGAAAAGCAACGTCTTGTCACACAAAATGCTTTCAAGAAAGAAAATGATGTCACTGTTGCATTTGCTGCTCAAGGTAAAGGAAAGGGCAGGAATATGGTCATATTGCTAGCAATTGTAGCAAGAAGTTCTGTAATTATTGTAAACAACAAGGACACATTATCAAAGAGTGTCCCACGCGCCCTCAAAATCGTAGGATCAATGCTTTTCAAGCTGGGATAAATGGCTCCACTAATGATAACTTATCTTCAGGACAAGTTCTTACTCCTGAAATGGTACAACAAATGATCGTGTCAGCCTTTTCAGCATTGGGATTACAAGGTAATGGTGTTACATCTAATTTTTGGATTGTTGATTCAGGTGCTTCCAATCACATGACCAACTCAACGAGCATCCTAAAAAATGTTCGCAAGTATCAAGGTCCATCACAAATACAGATTGCCAATGGTAGTAATTTACCCATTACCAAGGTTGGAGACATTACTCCAACTTTCAAGAATGTTTTTGTTTCACCAAAGCTCTCAACTAGTCTTATTTCAGTTGGACAATTGGTAGATAACAATTGTGATGTGAATTTTTCTCGTAATGGTTGTCTTGTGCAGGATCAGGTGTCGGGGACGATAATCGCGAAGGGGCCTAAAGTTGGACGATTCTTTCCTATACACTTTTCCATTCCTCCTGTTCTATCTTTTGCTTGTACTTTTACTGCTAGTAAGACTGAGGTTTGGCATAAGCGTCTAGGACATCCAAATTCTGTTGTGTTGTCTCATTTATCAAATTCTGGTTTATTGGGAAATAAAAATCAATTTTCAGTTGCTTCCATTGATTGTTCTACTTGTAAATTAGGCAAAAGTAAAACTCTTCCTTTTCCTAATTTTGGTAGTCGTGCTACAAAGTGTTTTGATGTCATTCATAGTGATGTTTGGGGAATTTCACCAATTATTTCTCATGCTCATTTCAAATACTTTGTGACATTCATAGATGATTATAGTCGGTTTACATGGGTGTATTTTCTTCGATCCAAATCTGAGGTATTTTCCATGTTCAAGACATTTTTGGCTTACATTGAGACTCAATTTTCTACATGCATCAAATTATTAAGATCTGATTCTGGTGGAGAATATGTCTTATGAATTCAAAAAATTCTTGCTTGACAAAGGAATTGTCTCACAACACTCTTGCCCATATACACCACAACAAAATGGAGTTGCTGAACGAAAAAATCATCTTTTAGATGTCACTCGTACTTTATTGATTGAGTCCTCTGTACCAGCTAAATATTGGGTGGAAGCTTTGTCTACTGTTGTCTATTTAATTAATATTGCCATCTAAAGTGCTAAATTTTGAGTCTCCATATTTTCGTCTTTATCACCAAAATCCTAACTATAGTGATTTTCATACATTTGGTTGTGTTTGTTTTGTGCATTTGCCTCATTCGCAACGCAATAAACTTTCTGTACATTCTACTAAATGTGCTTTTATGGGTTATAGTACGTCACAAAAAGGTTTTATTTGCTATGATCCATGTTCTCACAAATTTCGTATTTCTAGAAATGTTATTTTCTTTGAGAATCAATATTTCTTTCCTACGATTGTAGATCCATCTTATGTTTCTCCTCTTCTTCCTACTTTTGAGGATTTATCATCTTCTTTTAAGAGGTTCAAACCTGGATTTGTGTATGAACGACGTCGGCCAACTTTATCCTATCCCGACACTGATCCGCCACCTGAAACTAGACCACAACTAGAATCTGAGATTTCTTCAAGATTTGGTTCTCTTGAGCCTACTCGGCGATCTACTAGAGTATCTCGTACTCCCAATTGGTATGGCTTTTCCTCTACTTTATCCAACATATCTGTTCCATCTTGTTAGTCATAAGCTTCCAAGCATGAATGTTGGCAGAAAGTAATGGAGGAAGAACTTTTGGCTCTTAAAGAAAATGACACATGAGACATTGTTTCATGTCCTTCAAATGTCCGCCCTATTGGATGTAAATGGGTTTATTCAATCAAACTTCATTCTGATGGATCTCTTGATCGGTACAAAGCTCGATTGGTTGTTCTTGGTAACAGACAAGAGTATAGAGTGGACTATAAGGAGACTTTTGCACCCGTAGCCAAAATGACTACGGTGCGAACTATTATTTCCATTGCTGCTTCACAAAACTGGTCTTTGTATCAAATGGATGTCAAAAATACTTTTCTCCATGGTGATCTTAAAAAAGATATTTATATGAAACCTCCACCTGGTTTGTTCTCATCGTCTACATCAGATGTATGCAAGTTGAACCGGTTTTTGTATGGATTAAAACAAGCTCCAAGAGCTTGGTTTGATAAGTTTCGATCTACTTTGCTACAATTTTCTTTTGAGCAGAGCAAATATGACTCATCTTTGTTTCTTCGGAAAACATCTACAGGTTGTATTCTTCTTTTGGTGTATGTAGATGACATTATTATCACAGGAACTGATTCTTCACTAATCACTAGCCTCCAACAGCAACTTAAAGATTCTTTTCATATGAAAGATCTTGGTACTCTTACTTATTTTTTGGGTTTGGAAGTTCATAATGTTGCTTCAGGTGTGTTTCTAAACCAACACAAATATACTCAGGATCTGATTTCTTTGGCTGGTCTTCAAGATTCATCCTCCGTAGATACTCCATTGGAATTGAATGTAAAGTATCATCGTGAGGAAGACGATCTTCTTCCTGATCTAACTATATTTCGACAATTAGTTAGGAGTCTAAGTTACCTTACTATTACTCGGCCTGATATTTCTTTTGAAGTTCAACAAGTTAGTCGAATTATGCAAGCTCCCCATCATCTCCACTTGGTGGCTGTTCGTCGCATCATTCGGTATCTTCTAGGAACATCTACTCGTGGATTGTTCTTTCCAAGTGGTTCTCCTATTCGTCTTAATGCTTTTAGTGATTCTGATTGGGCAGGATGTCCTGATACTCGTCGTTCAGTCTCTAGTTGGTGCATGTTTCTTGGAGAGTCATTGATATCTTGGAAGAGTAAAAAGCAAGACCGTGTGTCAAAATCTTCAACAGAGGCTGAATATCGTTCCATGTCTACTGCTTGCTCTGAGGTTGTATGGCTTCGTGGGTTACTTGCTGAGATTGGATTTCCTCAATCTCATCCTACTCCTCTCCACGCTGACAATACAAGTGCTATTCAGATTGCTACTAATTCAGTTTTTCATGAGAGGACCAAACACATCGAAGTGGATTGTCATTATATAAGAGAAGTTGTAGATAAAGGAATTACTCTTCCACATGTGTCTAGCGATCTTCAAATAGCTGATGCGTTTACAAAATCCATGGCACGGCAACGCCATCAGTTTCTAGTTGGCAAATTGATGCTTCTTGATCCACCAACATCAATTTGAAGGGTGATGTTAGCATGATGGACAGCTAAATGATTGTATATATATTAATGTAATTATATAGTGATATAAATTAGCATGATCATATACATTTGTTGTAGAATCAAAGGAATAAATATTGTGATAGAATAGCTGATTTGGAGGGATAGCAAGGCAGATTTAGAGGGATTGAATATCAGATTTGTAGAGATAGAATAGCTGATCTTTAGGGATATGAATGGCGGATCTTTAGGGATGTGTAATCTTTATTTTCTCTATATAATGGAAAGACTCTCACTTTGAGAGGCATTAAGCAGAAAATTGACATACACAAGGTAATTTTATTGAGGGTCTATACTGCAAGTGCCAACAAGAGGATAAAGAGAGAGAAAGTAGAAAAGCAAAATTTCAGTACCTTGAGAGGTTCTTTACCACCTTGAAAGAGGTGCTTTATATCAAGAAGGCGAGGGTCAATCTTAGCAGGGGCCTTATATTTGAAACCAATAAGATATATTTCGGCAGATTCTGAACGACTTGCTAAAGGTTTCTCCACTTCAACTTTCTCAAAAAGCTGGCAATCAAATGCAAAGGTGATATAGTTCATTTGATCCGTATAACCCCTAAAAGTGATATTGAAAGGAAGGAAATACCTGTCTTAGACAATAAAGAACCGCAGTATAGTCTTGAGATCTAAAAACCTAAAAGTATATAGAGAATTAGTACGCTAGATAACGTTTGTTCCATCTTTTATGCAGCAATGCAATCAAATGAATGGAATAACAGTAGGAAGGTCAACAAGAAAACATCAACTCTACATGAACAACTTAGAGGGAAAGGCAATACAATGAAAAAAAATAATACTCCTACTAACAAATACTCTACAGACTAGTGTCATGACCCACCACGTCATCATGCCACTTATGCACCACATGACATAGAGTTCATCTCCTCCCCTACCCACTCGAAAGAAAAGACAAACATGTGTATGTATCAGAGAATAGTAAAGTAACAACTTAGACATAAATTTCTCCACCCACCCAAAAATAAACAAACAAATAGTTTAATAAAGCTTACCTCCACCCATCCCAAAACGCATATACAATACACATATAACATATTATTAAGTACACAGAGGAATGTAGTAAACAAGACAACAAGCTTTCCTACTCCCCCACCAACCCAACAAAACAAAAAAAAGAAGACAAAAGAATAGATAAAATAAGAGTGGGAAAAAGTTGCAAGGATAAAGTAGCATCCACTATGTTATTAAAATAATTAAGACCTATGACTATTTGTACTTATATTGGCATGTGTGAATACTAAAGCAGCAACTATATCTTATATAGTATATATATAAAAAAGTGATTTTGATAACACATACATATGAATATGATAATAAAAAACGTACCTTGGTAACAAAAGTACCATTAGGAAGCAAAAATTGTGTAGCAAGCTTAACAGAATCAATGACGAGAGAATTCTGCACAGTAGCTTCCATAGCCCAAGCACCACCCATATTAGGAGACCCATCATGAAGGATCAAATCAAACCCACTACAACCTTTTTCAGCAATTATTCTTTTAATGGTGGATTTACATTTTGCAGTAGTAATATCTTCCTGTACAGCAATTGCACCGCCAATTGGCTTGATTGGAACAATATCAACGCCAATAACAAGGCTGTCGACGGGTGTTTTACTGACAGCTACTTGCATCCAACCTCCGGGAGCAGCACAAAGATCGAGAACCGATTGAGATGAAGTGAGAAAGGAGAATTTGGAATTTAGTTGAATCAGCTTAAATGCAGCCCTTGAACGGTATCTCGATTCTCTTGCTAGGTGGTAAAACTTGTCTCTTCGATCTCTCCCTTTCAATTTCCCCATATCGTAACACTGACACACTGTAAACCTTTACCTTGTTAGGGTTTATTTATCCCCTTCTTTTTTTTTATTTGGTGTTCGATGCTCATATTAAAGCCCAATTAAATTTTCATTGCGCACTACAGGGTACATGGCCCATTGAGAGGTGACGCTCTCAATATGATTTTACTATATATTCATAACTCGAATTTGAGACCTGATCTAATTAAAAAATGAAACCGTCTTTATCACTGCACCGCAACTCATTCTACTCTACTTTCACATAACACTTTATTAACGGTATTGTCAGTGGCAGTTACCTTGCTAGGGTTAGGGTTTATTTATTCGCTCTCTACTATCACACGAGACAAAAAACATAAATACGAGTGAAAATCATTTTCACTCCAATTTTGCTTTAAAAATCACATTCATTGTTCAATTATTTAAGTAAATTTTATAAATGTTTATTATACCTTTTCATTATCAACTTTTTTTTTATTACTTTCTTTAAAAATCATGAAATTTGTGTTTTTGAATTCGTGTAACAAATTTTTCATAAAAGGATACACATTATTTTTCAACGAAAAAGTGACAAATATTAATTAAGTGTATGAGCTAATGATGTTTTATAATGAAGTAAATTAGCATAATGAAAAAATTGTTTTTACTAATAATAATCAAAACTCTAATATTCATTTACACAAAAAATAAAAGAGACTAATAACTACAAATATATTTTGATGTAGAAAATATAAAATAATTAATTTAATTAAGGTCAAATTTATAAAGATTGTATGTTTTAAAATTTAAATTATTTTAAATTATAATTTATATAAACTTCATTAATGTCAATCAAAATTTGTTTATTTATATAGACAATAGAAAATTCTCCGGACGCTTATATTTTGAGTAGTTGTTTTGATTTACTCATCCAATTAATGAAATCAAAAGAATTTCAATATTTTTTTTATTTCTACCCTTAATATTAAATAACGGCATAAAATAGTGTATATCAAGATCTATCATAAGTTATTTTATTTTAGTGGAGTCTTTTTATTTTTACGCATTATAGATATCAAGATCTCTCATAAGTTAGGCATTGTTACCCTTCTCTAGGTGACACATCGCAAGGTTTATATTCTTTAGAATGTCTTGCTTTTTCAATACAAATCATATCGTATGGGTTCATATATTATAGTTTTTGTCGTACAACTTATCACCAATATAAAATTATACCTTTTGAAGTCATAATCTGCTTATACTTATAAGCGACAATTATGTTAGAGCCACTCATCAATAATGCATGTGATATACACACGTAAGAAAATTAGTTCTCATATTTTCTATACTTTTAATAGAGAATTGATGGTCACAAAATTTTCAATCATCATTTGCAGATCAAATGACTATTCAAGAATTACATTTATTTCTTAGTATATGTTATATTAAAGAGTTTTAATTCAGTCTTAATCCATAATATTAATAATATTTAAATATCACAAAAATTTAACAAATAGATAAAGAACATATTCTCATAAAAAATATTCAAAAATATCATAAGTGATATAAGCACTTGTCTATATTACATATCATCTTTCTCATTACGCGGGTGATAAGGATTTATAACACTATCAACTAAAATCTTAGCTAGATTGTCTATAGGAGAACGTTGATAAAAATGAGGCCTTGGACACGTTCTTAGAAGCCAATATTTCTTTATTTTAGCTTCTATATCTATTTTTTCCTCCCACTTGACTTTAAGTGCATTCATATATGTCAGGAAATCCTCATTTGGACCAAGACAAATATGAATGTTAATCATTACGTCCATCCAATTATTTGGGAGAGAAGAAATAAATATAACTAAAGCTTCTGGATCGAAGACCGATATAAAATAAAAAGTTAATTCTTCTCGTTTCATCTGAAATAATTGAATATATTCTGGTATTGAAGAAGAAGGATCCATTTGGATATCCTTAAATTCCTCATATTTTCTTCTCCCTTCCCTCGTCCAAGCTCTTTGATCCCTAAAGATATTTTGAATAGAATTTGGAATATCATTTCTAATAATTTCTGAATCAGAATCAGAATCATTAATGACTATTGTCTTTCGTTGATGAACTCTTCTACGTTGTCGTCTTGCTTGATTGTTAGTATAACTCACAATTGGAGTACTTCGAGTCCGTCTCTGTCCAACCATTTCTAAAATGAGAACAAAAAATAATTAGAATAATTATTCATAATCATCTAATAGGCGTTATAACATAGTTGATTTCACGTAATTTTCTTTATCGGCCAAAGTGAGAATATGGTTAAATATTTGAAATTGTGTAAAATTTTCATCAAAATCAAAACATTCAGCCTTTTATCTACTCCCGCAGTTCAATGTAGAAAAATTCATTAAAAAGGGTAACCCCTTTTTACCTAAATTTATGAAGATAGGGTCTTTTTTACCCTTTTAAATCCTATCTTTATTAAATATAAATGCAATATTTTTCCTTCTTACCTTTTGAATAAAAGAAAATAATTTTTTTCCAGATATCTATGTTTAAAATGAAGATCTATTATGTATACAAAAAGTGATAAAACTAAAAATAAAATTGTAATGATAAACTAAAAAATAAATAAAAAGATTTGAGCTTTGATACCAACGAAAAAATTAAATAGTAACATGACCATCAAGTGTACCTATTAATAATAACACAATTTTCGTTGAACCGAACCAAAAATTCTTGGCACCTCTTTGACAAATAATAGATCCTCTTCAATGAATGAATATAATATTGTGATGTTTATTTTTTTGTCAAAAACCGTGTATCTTCACCTTTATTTATAGTCGCGAGCTTGGCCATATGGTAAGTAATTTGATCAATTTGATTACTTCTTTATGATATTAGATTTCTTATATCTATTTTTCATAATCATTAATGATTATACTCAAAGAAGACTACCTAATTACACAAACATTTCTATCATAATTACTAATTCTCCCTATAGTTTAAAATAATTATATATTGTCACACTAATTAATAATTTCATACCAGATTGCAAGTTAGATACACTAGATACATATTTTTTGCTACCAGATTCACTGAACTAGTGTAACACCCCAGAATTTTTTTGAGCTAAGACTCGAACCATTCTTCGTTGTGAGTAAGATTTTACCAAGGAATTTAAAATTTCTTTAAGTGTCAAGGTTAGGTCACTAGATATAGCACCTTGAGTTCCAAAAAGAATTAAAGAGAATTCATTCAAGCCATTCCTAAGTTTTTCTAAGTTTTGGGTCAACTTCAAACGACCATAACTTTCAGTACAGTATGAGTTAGGAAACTGATAAGATATCAAATGAAAGATCTCTGAGTCGTCTCTCCAACACCACCGAGTTTGCTAATTTTCGAGCTTGTATGAGGGAGATATGCCATTTTGAAGTTAGGCTGTCCATTCAAGGAAAGTTATCCAAAAATGTGATGGGTATTTTGGTCTTTTCCTTACCCAATTAGATTAAAACGAAATATGGTAATATTTAGGGGTCTAAACTGATTTGGTTAAGTTTTCACAAATTCTAATTACGCTTAGGATTTTAGAAGAAAGTTCAAGAAGAGAAAAGAGGAGAAAAAGTTCAAAGTTCCAAGCATTCGTTCAAGAAATGCAAGATTTCGCCAAGAACCTAGTTCTTTGAGGTATGTAAGCTTCCATAGTGTTGGGTTCGTTCACCCACACGCCAATCATGAGTTTCTTCTGCAAATCTATCCATAAATATTGAACAATTTAATTCTTGATGAGTTATTGACAAGTGTTCTTGAGGTTTCATTCTAAATCTTGTTTTGTTGAGGTTTTGAGGAATTCTTGAGATGAAAGTTAGTGATTTGAGGGTTGTTTTGAGTAGATTAGTGTACACTTAGGTTGGGTATTCAAATCTAAGTGAGTGGGGAAGAAACCATTCGAATCTAGGCGAACTAGGGTGAGAAAATGAGCAAAGAAATTAGTCGGGGTTTTCTGGGAATAGACTGGCGCGCCGCCCCATCATTGCGCCAGTAGAGAGTGTCTGTAGGTAGAGGGTTGGCGCCCTGTGCCACTCAGTGCGCCAGGGTCGCCTTCCCCTACCTTTTCTCCATCGTTTTGCCCGTCTGAGTTCTTTAAAAGGGTTCCTTCAATCCCTGTTGATTCTAAATACTCTAAACTACTTCTAAACACCTAGAAATCATTAATAACATGAATCGTAACCTTGAATTCATAATTCAAATTCAAGGTAGAGTTAAGAGTCAAGTCTTGAGAGTTATTTCAAATATTTTGAGAAAGTCCCTTTGAGTCCTTTGGAGGAGTCTTCTACAACTTCTAATAACTTGTATCAAGACTCGAGTAAGTGAGTATGAGAATGAGGAGAATGTATTCATGAGTCAACATTATCATCGATATCGTTCATATCATGAATCATAAGTCTTGAATTCATAATTGCGAGCCATAAGAGTAGAAATCCGCGAGGCACTCCCTATCTCTGCCCTTTCCATGGGGCACAGGCCTTAGGAACGTAGGAACTTGCTGGCTATTGAAACTATCCTAACTTTTTTAACGGGAACTGCTGGTCTATGTGTGTGTAAGCTTCCTATTTGATGTATTCCCATGTAACGACTATTAATGAAAAAAATCCGCTTTGTTCTAGTTCATTCTCTTTCCCTGTTTTGTGCAGAAAAATTGTTGATTAAATTCAAGAAAGAGTTAGGAGAACAGTTCATGAAAGTCTTTGAGTTAAATCGTGAATCCTTTGAGATCAACTATCGATTTGAGCTAATTTTTGAGGAAATAAGTATGAGAATGAGAAGAGTCGTGTACATGAGTTCTATATTGTTATGTAGACCCTTGAGTCGAGTCATTCATGCCCATAAATTCTGCATGAACTCCATAAGTTGAGTATCTTTGAGAGGAGTAGTATCTTTAGGTTCTAAGTCTTAAGTATTGAGTTCCTAACCCCTTTGAGGTTATATTCCTAGTCATGAGACTATTACGTGTTATCCATGAAGGTCCTTGAGTTGAGTTATTCATCCCCATAATTCGGCATGAACCCTATGAGTTGAGCATTCTTGAAATGAGTAGTATCATGAAGTCTTTGAGTTGAGTTGTTCATGCCCATAATTCCGCATCAACCCTCTGAGTCGAGCATTCTCGAGATGAGTAGTATCATTGAGTTCTTGAGTTTTGGAATTGTTGAGTCCCGAGTATTGAGTTATATGTATGGTTATTAAAAACCTTGAATTGAGTCGTTCACGCCCATAATTCGGGATGAACCCTATTTTGAGAAGTCCCAAGTATTGAGTTCTATGTATGGTTATTAAAAACCTTGAATTGAGTCATTCACGCCCATAATTCGGCATGAACCCTATTTTGAGAAGTCTTTTACAATCACTTTAAACTTGTTTTGAGACTTGAGCACCTGAGTTTGAGAAAGAGTAGTGTTGAGTTCCTTTTTTTCAAAATGAATATATGGGAACTAAGTATTTCCAAGAGTAAATGTTTTCACATTTAAAAGAGGAGGAAATTGAGACTTCCAAAAGAGTTTTGAGCAGTTTGAGTACCATCTCTTTTAAGAGAAAGATTTTTGAGTAATAATCTCAAAACACAGAAAGAGTTATGTTTTTAAACATATGAGCTAGATATATTTTGGGAGTAGTATTGAGCACCGATATGAGAGAGTTCTAACAACTCACAGCCCCCATAAACCATGTAGCCAACGTGGGTAGAAAGGGTCATACTTTTTAGATGATTTATTGTTGCTTTTTAGCATAGACTAGTGGATCCACTTAGTAGTAGGTTCTATACCCCGACAAAGTATAGGACAATTTTGGCAACGTAGGCTAGACGATGTATCATTACATAGCTCATAGTGATGGTTGTCGGTTAGATAATATCCCACAGAGTTATATTGTATTTTTATATACAAATTGAGTTATTATTGTATTATTCAATACATTGAGTTGCTATCTATTGTTTTAAAAGCTTTCCATATATTGCATCTTTTATTGTTGCTTTATCCAGAGTTGAGTATCTTATTATTTAGTTGAGCCTTATTTATCTGATTTGAGTTGAACTATGTTTCATTGAGTTGAATATCATGTTATTAAGTTGAGCCCTATTTTCTCTGAGTTGAGTTGAACTATGTTTCTCTGAGTTGAGAAGAAGTAAGTATGTGTCTTTTCCATCAGTACAAGCTTATGTTTATGCTTTAGAATTCCCCTTACATGCTCGTACATTCCATGTACTGAGCCATTTGGCTTGCATCATTTCATGATGCAGATACAGGTACTCAGGATCATCAACAGGCGTTTCGTTGAGGTCACGTGATATTCCAGTCAGCTTTGGTGAGCTTCTTATATTCCGAAGGACTTCACCTTTATCTTACATTTAGTAGTTTTGATATGTCGTGGGTCTTGTCTCAATATACTTTTGCAATAGTAGAGGCTTCATAGATAGACAGAGTTGAAGAGTTTCTGTATTTACTTTTATTTTGAGTATTGTACAAACTTTTAAAAAGGTTGAGTATTTGAGTTTATTGAAATTATTTTAGTTTTAAGCTTTTGTATGCTTGAGTTAGTCTTCCGCTTGTAGCCAGCCAGGATGAGGGTTCGCTTGGGGATCAACAATGGTTTTCGAGTGCCGGCTACATCCAAGGTGTAGGCTCGGGTCATGACAAATAGGGAGAGAGACGAGTGAAATGTTTCTATGTATTCCATATTCATGTGAATTACACTAGATACATGCCTCTAACACTAGTTATATGTATCAGGGATACCAGATACGCGAGTGAGATAGCAGAGTGATGACGAGAAAGGAGAGAGGTGAGCGAGATTTGTTGTATGTATCCCAGATACATGTGAATCCACTCGGATACAATGTATCTAGAATAAATTACATCTAATTTCGTCCTCACATATCCAACATACATGTATCTGGACGCACCATATATATGTATCTCAAGTCCAAAATCTGATTTAACTCATAATATTACAAACTAGCGTATATCCAAATAATTAGCTCCTAGAGATTTCTCTATGTTACCCTTTACTTAATAGAGATGTAGAAAACAGATCTCATCAATTTATATGAAACATCACTAATTCAAGTTATATTTTAATAAAGGCCAAAGTCATCTGCGGCCTCTTAAAGTTGTTCGCATAATTCACTTAGACACCTCAACTAAGAGTTGTACCTATTGAACACTTCTATCGTTCAAAATATGGACCTATTGAATACTTTTTGGTGACATGGCATTATGAGTGTAATACACATCCAAAAAGGCGAGTGAAGCCAAATATATTTTTACGGACGAATCAAAATTAGACATGTCAACATTAGAAAAATCATAATTTCTATATAATTTTTTTTTTAAATCTACTCCTGCATTCTTTTTTTTTTCTCAATCCAACATACTTATTTGCCTTGCCACCATCCTTGACACACCCATCTACTCCTGCATTCTTTCTTTTTTTCTAGCATAATCCCGTCATCATTATTATCGTTGTTGTTTTCTTCATCAGAAAAGCATTAATTAAAGAAATAAAAATCAAATTGACTCAAAAATAATTCCGGCAAAACTCCATTTTTTCCGACAAGACTAATATGAATCTGAAATTATTTTCTTTGAAATTGCTACAGAATTCAATTTCTAAAGAACCCACAACAGTGAAGAAGAAAAAATATCAACAAATCTTGATTGTTATTCGAAAAAAAGAATGAGATTGAGAAAAATGACAACTACAATACTGAATTAGAATAAAGGAGAGGATGTAGGTGTACGGTTATCGGAGTATGCGGTTTTAGCCGGAGGCCGCTGTGTGTTTTCCGACGAAGAAGAAAATGAGGAAGAATGGAAGTCGGGGGTGGGTGTTTTGGCGACGAAGAAAAGGCAGAGAAGAGTTTTTCTTTTTCTGTTTTTGGCCAAAAACAAAATTTTATTTTATTTTATTTTTTAATAAATATTTTAATTATTATTATGGGCCCAACGCCACATGTCCTTTTCTGATTAGTTACTATGCCACGTCATCGCGAGTGTATGACACACAATTTCTATTTTTAGTTGATTGTCAAAAAATGTTTAATTGGTATTTTTTTCACTAATAAAAGTGTTCAATAGGTACAACTCTTAGTTAAGGTGTCTAAGTGAATTATGCGAACAACTTTAAGTGGCTACAAATGACTTTGGCCTTTAATAAACAACCCATTTATCATTTTAAATTGCTTCATGAGGATGTTTAAGAAATCAAAATTTTATATTGAACAAAATTAAATGTCAAACAAAATTCACAGATAAACCATCTTATTTGACTTTGTTAATTATATTTTAAATAAGTAAGAAATCAACAATTAATATCGTATTAAATTCACGTTTTATTAATATCAAATCATTTATAGGGATTTTATAATATATATGCCATAAAATGTCATTTAAGCGTATTTCTGAAGCTTTCTTCATAAGTTTGTATTTTTCTTTATTTACTAACTTAATAAGGAGTAATTTTCTTTATTAATTTTATCATTAAAGTTAGTTAAATTTGAGAATCCAGAATTTTAAGGTTGTGACTATTGAACTTTCAAAGTGTCCTTTTTGATTTGGAGGTTGTGGAAGAAGAGAATTCAATTGGGGAAGTGCTTGTAAGACACCAGATATGTGATGAAGTGCTATGTAAATGTTGTGAGGAGAATGAGAATGAGAGGGGAAACAATTGAACATTTATTCATTAAGTGTCCAATTGCTAACAGGCTAAGGGGCAAATTTGCAGCTGCAGGGGGAATTAATGGTCCTTTTTTGCAATTAAGGGATTCTGTAATGAAATGGTTGAATGCAGAAAGAACACATAAGTTACAAATACTCTTCAATGCAGTTCCTTTATTTATCTTATGGAAGATTTGGAAGAGGAGAAACACCACTAATCATGAAGGAAGAATGACATATGTGGCCTGTGGTATGGAAATAGAAATAAACAGAAATTTGTTTCCGTTAGCCAAGTATAACTACCCTTGACTAAAAAAATTACCACCATCTTGGCCCGGGTTGGAAAATTTCTTTGAGGAGTACACTCCCACTCTTGGTTGCAGAACAATAGTGTCGAATCCTCCAGAGATGAGGTCTTTTAAATGCAACTTTGATGGTGCATCTAAAGGAAATCCAGACCCAAGTTCTGGGCCTTTTTGTATCAGGAATAGAGAAGGGAATTTAATTTATGCTGAAGTCAGGAGATTATTTGATGGTATTAATCTAGTGGCAGAAGTGGTGGCACTAAGATTGGGTCTGGAGTTCTGTGTACAACATAATCTTCTCCCTGTTATACTTGAAATTGACTCTCTTTCTCTGAAGAATATTTTGGATGGAATTTGGGAAATCCCTTGGGTCATAGTGATGGAGATCGAGAGGATCAATATGCTTATGAAGGACAAGGAAGTGATAGTGGAAAATATACTCAGAGAAGGAAATCAGTTGACTGACTTTTTCACTAACAACATTCTCTGTTTTGCAGGTACTCAAAGACTAACATACTCAAATTTTCAGGTTATACCAAGTGAGGCTAGAGACATCATCAATACAGAGAAAGTAAGACTTCCTAGCCTTAGGATAAGAAGATACCAAAATGGAGATTTTTGCTAATCATGATCATTCGCAAAGAAGATAACAAGAAAATAATATTATAATTGTGAATTCACATAGCAGACATTGGAACTTACAAGCCGATGCATCAGTGACAAAAAAGAAGAACATTTAGTAGGCGTTTGGTCATGCGATACCATATCACGATATGGTATCGTGAGATGAAATCAGCATTTGGACATGTGATTTTACGCTGATTTCATCTCATGATTCCATATCATGAGAGGTGATATCATATTCTCCAAAAACCATGATATGAAATTACATGGTGATTTTATATCATGATTTGAGATATTTTAATACAATACTTGATCCATTAGTTTATATTTTGTTAAAACAACCCCACATTTATATCTACTAACCATTTGTTTCATATGTAAATAAAATTTATAATCATATCATTATTTTTTAAAATTTATTATTCTCACCGACATAAAATTTATTATTCGCACCCACATATAGTCACTTTAACTCACACCTCACGATTGTGAAACTTTTCAACATTCACTTGAAATAATTAACCGGCATGTTAAAATAGTTGCCGAGACAATTAGTAAGATAGCACCAACATTTATACAACCAAAAAATATGACTGGTGTACATTCCAAAATTCGACATAATACTCGATTTTGGCCTTGGTTTAAAGTAAAATTTCAATCACATTAATAAATTTATTTTATGGCCTTAATAAGTGCACATTTATATTTTATGTGTAAGTTATTAGTATTTAGTTACATATTTCTGCCACATGGTAACTTTAAATTACATCCTTAGAATAAATATTATTTATTTACACAAAATTGTTTCATTTACGTCACATATGCTTTTAGTAATTCTTTATAAAATATTTTTTGGTAGATAAATATTATGTTGTTGATGCTGTTTCCGAAACACAAAAGGATTTTTAGTTCCATACAAAGGACTACGCTATCATTTGCAAGATTATCGAGGAAGTGAAAGAGAGCCTCAAAATGCCAAAAAACTATTTAATTATAGGCATTCATCTCTGGGTAATGTGATTGAACGGACTTTTGGATCTTGGAAAAATAGATTTAGAATATTGAAACAAGGCATGAACCATTATGATATTGATACACAAGTGAAAATTGTCATAGCTTGTGCAGTGTTACATAATTATTTGCGAAAATACCAAAATAGTGATGAAATATTTATGGTCTATGAACATGAAGATATAGTTGCGGATGATATTGACCAACAAATGGCTCAAAGTAACAATGTTGGTTCGTCTTCTTGGTCACATGATCGAGAAATGCAAATTCAACGTGAGAAAATTGTTTGTACTATGTGGGAAGATTATATTAAAGACTAGTACACTACAATTTATGTTCAATTTTTTTATTAAATTAAAGTTAGATAAAACAATTACTTAAGTGGAGAACAAATAACTTTGTAATAATTTATTATGCGATTTTATAATTTTTTATTTATTTGATAAGATTGAATAAAAAATTGTGGTTATTTTAATAGTTTTACAACTTATGAAATTTTTTTGTTTATAAGAAAATGTACAACACAAAAATTTCATATCGCATGTCCAAACAAACCTTCAATTTCATCTCATAATTTCATATCATAATCCCATATCATAATCCCATATCATGATTTCATATCATGATACCATATCGCATGGCCAAACGAGCCCTTAGAGAATAATAAAATACCTATCTTTATTGAATTTCAAGCAGTAGTATCAACTTTTAAGCTCAATCTGCTGAGAGTCGAGGAAGATGGCGAAACATTGTTCTGAAATAACAGGTAGATGAGGGCATGACAACAATCAAAATGAAATCAGCAAAAGGGAAATGGATCGTGAAGAACAAAAACTTACCCTTTTGGAATTCTAGGGATATGCAGGCAATGGAGAGGCATGAGTCCAGCTGGAGAATCTACACTCAAAAGGGATAGGAAGATGGAGATTTACCACTAGCTCTTTGATTTTTGGACAACAAAAGCTTCATAATCAGCTGGAACTCACCAGATCTGTCGTTGTAGAGTGGAAGAAGTCTTCATTAGGATTGTTTTCATGGCATTCGTGAGACTTGGAATGTCTTAGGTGAAAACACCTTAAGCTCGGCAACTTTCAGGTCCTGGATTGGAGTTGGATACTGAATTTGAAGCTCTTGATGTCTCTCCAGCTCATCGACGTTTATCTCAATCGAGGACCATGGTTGTTTCGACGGTGTTGTGAGGAAGGAGATGAATCGATTTTCTTTCCCCTCTTTTTTCTTTGATGTCCGGACATTTCAGGTCCTAATTTGTTTCTTTTATTGTTGTTTCCTTTTTCTATATTGTTATTGGGCCTGGGTCAGATCAGGCAATGTAGGATGATTTTATATATGCAATAAAGACCTATATGGTCTACTTCATCTAAAAAAAATAATCATTCATGTTGATAGTTTTTTGGGTAGTGGCATTTGCTTAACCATCAAATATTTATCATTTCCCAACTAATGTATGTTATGTAAATGGCAAAACTATAGAATAACAATAGTGTGGAAACAAAATAGTAAATAAAATTGAAATGGTAAGGATATTTATATAAGTGGTGACCCTTGATATATTTCTTAATACATGACATTTCATAATTATATATTGTTCTTATTAAAAATAGATATTTCATAATACTTGTTACTTTACAAATCAATACATAAATAACATTATTCTTCCTATTTACAATTTAGAGTTATTAACCTTGAAAGTATGGATTTGACCAACATAGGAAAACTAAATGATTAATTCATGTTCATTGATCGATTTAATTAATCAAAATAAATTAATTTACGTTCATTTATTGAAAGTTTGACTTCAAGAGAACACTAAATAATGATACAATGGTAAATTTACATAGTTTCTTAAAGAATGTGAAATCTAAAATTGTGACATATAAATAGGAATAGAAAAATAATATACCAATTTGAAGGATTTAGTGTTATTCACTTATCACATTTATCTTACAACTACTCCCTCCGTCTAACAATACTTGTCCACTATACTAAAAATAGATGTCCAATAATACTTGTCCACTTTATGAAATCCATGGATAATTTTACACTTAGTTCCTAATTTACCCTTATCATTAATCATAGTCATTTTCCTATTACATTTTTCAAGACATTGTATTTATTATATTCAAAGGGTGATATAGTAAAATTACCCTTCTATTTATAGTTTCTTAAGGGGTATGCCAAGTAAATAGTGGACAACAATTGTTGGAAAGAGGCAGTAATATTCTTTTTGTTCATTACGGTAGCTCGCAATTAATTATACTGTGAACTAGTAAATGTGCCCGCGCTTCACGGGGTTAGAACATTCTTCTTTAAAATTTATTAGAATATAAATTTTCTTGTATTTTAATGTTATAGTATTGTTTTATAAATTTATTTTTAAGAGTAAGGAGGTCATTCAATTGTAGTTTACCATTTGTTTTATTAAAAGAAAAGGCAAAATTACAAATTATAACACTATTTTCTCCTAGTTTACATAATTTTATTTTACAGATTCATTAATTTGCTTTTGATATTTTACAATGGTTAGTTTATTTTTATCATCTATATGCATGGTTACATAGTGTCTTTAATTAGAGAGTCAAATAAATATTTTTCTCAATTTTCTTCTTTGCAAATTTCGTTAGTATAACACTATTGATTACTTTCAAAATATTAAATATTTTTAAAAAATATATATTGTAACGACCTGATTCCGTCGTTAGGGAAAAGCCAATGGGGAAAGAATTGGACCAGAAAAACTTTTGAGTAGTAACTTGAAATTTCCTAGCCTAGTCCAGATTTGGACGAAATCGGAGTCAGACAAGTCTAGGGAAATCTGGTAATGAATGAGAAGTGTAATAATGAAATTAATTGTGTGAGTGGATAGCTAAGACGTTAAGGAACCTATATGACTTTACGAAATTGAATTCGGGAGAGTAGAACTCTCGGAATTGATCTTAGAGTGAACGAGTGTTTTCTGAGTGTTGTGGGATGAAGGTGTGTTGAGAAATGGGGGTTTGGAGATCTTAATTTGACATTTTGTTTCCGTGCAAGCCGTTGTGGCGGGATTATTCCTTCCAGGGCGGGGCCGCCATAGTGGGACAGTCGCGATTTAAGTCGAAAATAAACCCCAAAATCATTTTATTCTGCAAGTTTCAACTGTGAGAGATAGGAGACGACCCCAGGTGCTTTCTTGATGGTTTTTCACCATTCTGAAGGCTAAATGTAAGGTTTTAACTCCCCGAATCCATTTTTCGATCCGTAGAATGTAAATTCGTGGGTGATTATCAATGGGGAAGGGTTTTGATATGGAAATTATGGTGGAAAAAACCCTAATCTGGGTATTAGGATCTTGGGTTTGGTCTAGGGTTATTGGGTTTGTTATAATCTGAATAATTAGACCATTGATTGTTGATCCTTGCGTATATTAATTATTTTTAGACCTAGAACAAGGGGAAAGAATCTGGAAAGGAAAGATTCAAGTGACTTAGGAGATTCAAGCTTGGATTCGAGGTAGGTGATGATTGTGATTTCATGTTGGTGTGATATATGTTTGTAATTGCTCATTATAATGCATGTATGTATGTGAATGTTGCATTATTGATCACCCTAACCGTAAATGAGGATAATTGAATAATTGTATGCCATGAATCACCTCTTGTTGTATGATTGTGAGAATATACATTATGATTGTGATTGTGGTTTGTTGAATGGATTGGGTGATATGTTCCGACATACTAACTTGGATTGGTTGCCATGTTCCGGCATAAATATGGAATCGATTTCCATGCTCCGGCATAAATATGGGATCTATTTCTACATTACGGCATAGACATTGGATCGGATACCACGAACCGGTACACTAACAATTTGGGTTCAATGAGAGGACCATTGAATTGTGTTGTGTATCTACTTGTGTTGATTACGTTCATATATAATGGTAATTGAGGTTGAAAGACGATTTGTTGCTCTAAAATGATAACCAATGTGTATAATTGAGAACATGGAATGTTATATTGATTCTGAAAAGATGACTAATATTGCATATGTTCGGTATATGCTTGTTTTATACCACTGTGGTTGTGTACTGATACTTCACTTGCTTGTTCTTTGTTGAGTACAGGGTATCTTCAAGCGGTTATTGATAGACCTCAGCTAGGTGACTATTAAGCGTGATCGGATTCAAGAGTGAGTCAGTTCTTTCAGGCTGCCATGGATCTTTCTTGTTTAAGTCCATTTTTTTTGGACTCAGACTATTTGTTTAAGGTGTTTGTTTAGTTTCGGGGTTGTACCCCTTGTTCTTAGACTTATCATTAGTAGAGTTTTGGTACAATGACTTTCAGGTTCTAGGGATTGTTCTTCCGCATTAGTTTGGATAGTTTATTTCAACCTTTGGAGTTTATGGAAACTCCATATTTCTTTTGGTCATTTAAACCTGCTTCTGTATCTTTAAATGCATAGTATTTGGTTAAGTTGTTTGTTTGGGTTGTAGTAATGGTTCTCCCACCGGAGGGTTAGAGTGGGTGCCAATCACGACGGTCTGGGTCGTGACAACGTTGATATTAGAGCCCCAGGTTCGTTGATCTCATTGTACCAAAACGAGTCTAGTAGATTCTTGTGGAACGGTACGAAGACGTCCGTACTTTTCTTCGAGAGGCTATAAGAATTTAGGAAAAACTCACGTCTTTCTACTCCTTCGTTCTATGACTTGAATCCAATTGGTATCTGGGTGAAACAAATTGGCATCTTTCCTCCTTCACTCTATGGTCCAAGCTAGAGCAACAAAAGTGGTAACACCATCACTAGCAAGAGAGGATGTGTATAGACTACCGACAGTTGAATAGGGTCACCATTCAGAACAAGTATCCACTGCCTCGAATAAATGATCTTTTGACCAGTTGAAGGGTGCATCAGTTTACATTTTGCTCATGTACTGGGAGACCGGTAATGGTCATCTATGGAACAAACTAATTTAGAAATCGGGCTTGTCTGTGAGTTGTAACTTGAAAAATTGTGAATGCATGTTCCTTGTTGCCTGAATTAACTGTGAATGTGAAAGTTGTATTTGCTTGGACGTGATGATATGATCATGTGCACAATAAGTGTGGGTCTGATTTTTGATATGTGCAATATGCTGGCAGAATTGATTGAAACTATGCAAGTTATAACTGTTGAGTATCGTGAAACTTGTTGTGAAAAAAAGGTCACGACTATGTTTGATGCAAGGGTCTATATAATGTACGAGGCGATTCGTAAGAAATATCTGGATGTGTCTTGCTCTTGAGTTATAACCGCGTGAGTGTCTGGGTGTATCCTGGGGATGTGTGGGTTATGGTGTTGAATTAATGAGAATTCGTTGGATTGTGTATCGTTGGATTGACTCGGGGTAGACAATGATTATCCTAAATTGCTTAGTAAAGCTGAAACCCGTTGGGAGATTTAGAAAAGAGGAAAACCCCTGAAAAACTTATTGTCTGGGTACTGTTTTCGTCTGAGCCGCTGGGGCAGGATTTTTTTCGTCAGCGCGAGGCCGCCAGAGCGGGACAGGGCGAGACAGTTTCTCAGCCTTGTCTCCTTTGTTTTTCTCAAGTCTCCCTATAGAACCCGAATCGAATCCAAACTAACCCCTGCAATCCAATCAGTGTTCAATGTTCAACAATCGAGGATAGACTATAAAACCTTGTAATAAATCAAATGCTGTAAAAAAAGCAGCAAAATTGGCATCCATGTGATTACAAAAACAAAAGGTGTGTGCGAAATTTTCTAAGTGTGAATTTTGATTGACTTCGGTTGCCTTTTTGGGGCATGTAGTTCAAGGGAAGGGGTAATGGTAAATGTTGACACCCAATTAATTTTCGAGCTTCTTAATTTCAAACGATTTCAAATAATTAATTTGATCAAAAATTCAAATATTTTTCAAGTAATTTTTAGGTAATTTTAGTCATTTTATAATTTTTAAATAATAAATATGTTTTTATATAATTAGTACATTTTATAAATATTCGAAGATCGCGTCAAAAAAGATTTTACTTTTACATAAATATTTTGTTAATTAGTTTAGTTTAAATTGTAGTTAATATTCTTAAATTAATTAGTTTGATGAAGTTAATTATTTTATTTTGTCAAGATTAAAAAGCTCGTTAATTAATTAATATTAATTTATCTTATTTGAGTTTTAGCCAATTTTATTAATTAAATTCAA